ATTTAAAACTGTTTATTTTAGAAAGCAAATATATTTACCCTGAGAGTAGCCTTCATAGTTTGAGAGATATAATCTCTTGTTTTTATTAGACCTTTGTAGACACCTTAACCATACAGTAAAGAGAGATCAAAGAATGCCTGGGGTTCATATTCCCAGTCACAACTGTGGGCTTGATCTCGCTAGCGGTGTTTGTGATGGATGATGTATTCTTTAACAAAGGAAAAAGACCTTCCTTAGGGCCGTTTATGATGGACATACGTTGCAACATTTTTTTTTTAAGTGAGCCATTTAGTTTCTAAGAAGTAGCATAGGGCAATTTAAAAAATTGTCCAACTGCCAGTGTTTCAGCTTACATTGTTTCTGCACATACTACCAACTTTTGACTTGGGATAGGTGAGTCTCCATTGGTATTTGGATTACTACGATCTGCTTCATGTTCCCTTGGAAGTACTGAAAACTTTAAAGTATTTGGGCAGTGTGAATGGGTAAGATCCAGTTTTATTTAAGTCTCTCAGGATCCATCTTAATAATAGTCTCTATCCCCAAGAGGGCAAAATGAAAGGCAAGGCTTACATCAGCCTAATCACCTCACTTTCTTAGGAATCAAATGTTCCCAAGGTCAAAAACAGTGAAGTAACTCTTACCATCTTGAAGGGCACTACATCAGAAATACAGTGAATGGAAATTGCTTTTTAACTAGATGTGAGTGTCATTTTAAGCACCACTGTTTATATTCTTTATGTCCTTTCTTTCTTTTTATGTTGAATTTGTTTCACCTTGTAAAGATTAAGCTGAACATGTTCTAGCTTTTAAATGTGAGAATTGAATTATTAATGGTTTTGGAATAAAAAATTGTCTCCCATTTCTCCTACTAAAAGTGGTACATTCTCACAAACTTTGGACCTTACTGATAGGATATGTCATGTAAAGTTTTTTTTTACTAATTCAGCATTTAAAACTTTTTATTTCTGCTTTGTTTTCTGAAATGCCTCTTTCTTGAATGGAGAAAATTGAAGAATTACATGCATTCCAGTTAAATTACATTCTTTGTGTGTCTCTCACCTTTAGTGTATGCTACTAATCAAATCTTGATATTTTTAATTCATTTTCATATTTAATCAAGATGGTTATAATTGGTACACTGCCCCCCAAGATGTTGTATAAGAATCTACTTATGTTTTATTCTCTTATATTATCCAGTGAATTTATTAATTTTAGGGTAAGATTTTGTGATCCTGTATCAAAACCTATGTCCTTTAGATCTATGGTCTCCCAGTGATGTTGACTCTAGCCAACTTAAACTAGTAAGATTTATTCATGAACAGTGGTGCTCTGATCAGTCCAACATCATGCTAATTCACCCTAGTTCTACCTGATATTTGGTGAAGTAATTTAGTTGACATTTGGAGAATTGATTCATACCAGTCTAAGGAAACACACTATTAGTTGACTGAATCCTGAATTAAAGAGGCAACTTATTTCTTAGGAGATAATTCTTACATTGCTGATGCATTTCTCATATGTGTTAAAAAAATGTGGTTAGCCTTTCTGCTCTTCTTTCCCCTCTCCTTTGACTTTACTCCTCCCTGTTCGTCAAGGCTCCTCTAATAATGACATCTTTACCAAGTATTGACATCTGGCAGCTGCTTTTTGGCTTAACCTTTCATACTTAATCAGAGACTTGTCATAATACCTGAAGTAACTCTTACATTTAAAAGAAAGTATTGTGATATTCCTAATTATATTTGTAATACTGAGTCTCTTTCTTTGCAGACAATTTGTTATTTCTTAGCTATTTTGGGGCTGAGGGTTTTTAGTGAGTATCAGTCTTTTATTCTAATTCATTAGTATCAAATGTTTTATTAAGCAGTCATCATTTTGATCTCATGATGAGAAGCAACCACATGAACTTAGAGAATGTTGGCCAATTATGGAAAATGTCATAGGAAAAAACTTTCCATCTACAAAGAAGATACATATTTTCTTCGATGTATTTTCAAAATTGGAAATTTCTTATTTTTTAAAAAAATGGATTTAGAAGGGGAAATGAAATTAAATCAAGTGTAGCAGAATATAAACAGCAAAATCACAAGTCATATTAAAAGAAAACCTGTTTGCTGTGATAAATTTAAATGAAATTACATGTTGTAGTAGTCAGTTCCTTTCATATCTTGATGTGGAATACAACTTCTATAAATCAGTGTTTTAAGTAATGGATTTCCAAAGCAGTCCTTTTCTTGTGGACGCAGAATATGTGTATTTAAAGTTAGATATAAAATAGATATCACAAACACATATTCTGATACATGTGAAAATAAACTAAAATAAAAATAAACCGAATGAAACATATTTTAACAACTTTAGTTTGGGTTTCTTTAAAGACCAAAGGCAAACTGTGTCTTTTCATTGAATTTGTTTATGCAGAAAATCAAGTGAGGGCCCCCCTGGTGGCACAAGGGGTTAAGCACAGCACTGTAAGTCTGTCCGCAGCCTCTGTAGCACGTGTTTGATCCTGGGCGGAGTACAATCTCTGGCCAGCCAGGGAGTTACCTACATAGTGCAGCAGACCTCTCCTGTCTCGCCCACTGTTCCCTTCAGCAGGACATTTCAGTAGATCTGCCTGTTCTGCTCCCTGGCTGTTTTTTCTTTCTTTTTTTTTTTTTTTTTTTAAGTCAAAAGTCAAATGAAAATGTGTTGATCCACTTTCATAACAAAATTTGAATATACAAACATTGTATAACTAAACAGTGATTGTTTAGGTACTTGTAATTAGTAGCGTAACTAGAATGTCAGTTGTAAAAATGAAACGTTACTATTTCTTTAAATTTAGTGAGTTTGCATAGCCAACGGATCAAATATCCAAGATGGGTAGTTGTTGGCATTGTGGTTCAGATTTTAGACCTAACAAATATATCACATTTGGATATGATTAAAGAAACAAGGCAAAGGAGAGCAACCAAAAAATAAGGAACAGTCAGTTTACCTGAATTATAGCCATCTTGTTTTTTCTTTTTCTCTGGTGTGTATCAGTTAGAAGTTTGGAAAATTAACCCTTAGCCTAATTATAGAAATAAAGTTGTTGCAGATTTTCTAAAATGACTGTTTTTCCTTAAACTCAAATTTCAGAAGTCAGTTGCAGTTTGTATTGGTCACAGTTCTTTCCTTTGATAGAGTTCGGCAGTTCACCTGTACTTCCTTGGACTGAAATGCTTCTATCTACCATCATCTAAATGAGGATGTGTAAATCTTACGTAAATAAGATTTAAGAAGGGTGGCTGAATCGGAAAAAATAATGGACCATTATGTCTAATCAATTATGATTTTTCTGTTTGTTTCTTGTGCCCTGAAATAAGGCCTACACTCGGACCCCTTTTTCATAAATTGTCTCAAAGACGATAAAGGTTATAGAAATTGGAATTTGGGGGTATTCCTGTTGAGATAAATGTGTTGGGATGTAGATGACTTATACTTTATGGCATTTTCTTCCTACTTTCCCTTCTTATCATGACTACTCTATTCTGTATTCCTGTCACGTAGGAAGTTGCTTGTTTCTTTTGTGAGTGATTCAGGAGTAACACCCATTAAATTTACAGATAGGTGGATATTATAGGATTTCTTTGGTACCTACATGGATTTTCTTTTTTTGCTTGATATTTGAGAATCATTAAACTCTTAATGAAGGGGCAGGGGTAGATCAGACTTAAGCAGGGGCCTTCTAAAATACACTCACATCTGAAACCCATCCTCAGAAACTGATTTTTGGGTGGGGTGGCAATGTACTTGCCCCAAAATGGTTCTTTGTTTCAGATGTCTTTTTTTTTTAAGATTTATTTATTTATGCATACAAGAACTGGGGTACAGGCCAGAGGTGTGGAGGGTGAGAGGATTCACCAGAGACAGAGTGGGGAACAGAACAGGCAGACTGACCGAAATACACTGCTGAGGCGAGCAGCGGGCAAGACAGGAGAGGTCCGCTGTGCCATGTGGGTTGCTCCCTGGCAGGTGGGGGATAGAACTCGTGCTGCAGAGGCTATGGACAGCTTCATAGTGCTGTGCCCAAACCCCTGCGCCACCAGGGAAGCTCCAGATGTCTCTTTATATCTTGTTCCAACCAGACTTTCTCACTGTCTCATGCCATTTCTTTCAGTCACCTTCTGCTCTTTTCTGATACCTAGGCTATCCCTAGCTAGTATGCCAACCACTCTTATTTTATACCTCTGTGCTTTTGCACATGCTGCTCCTACTGCCCAAATGTCTTCTCCTTCCTTCCTCTCCCCCACCTCCACTCCAGCTCTTCATTTGTCAAACAACTATGTAATCTTCCCTTATTTTCCTTTAATGACATAATCTGTCCTTACTGCTTCATATAAAAGTGGTCACTCTTGGGCCTCCCTGGTGGCACAAGGCGTTGAGTCTCAGCACCATGAAGCTAAGGGCAGCCACTGCAGCATGAGTTCGATCCCTGACAGGGAGGTAACCCACATGGCACAGCAGACCTCTCCTGTCTCGCTTGCTGCTCCCTTCAGCAGTGTATTTCAGTGGATCCACCTGTTCTGCTCCCCACTCTCTATCTCTGGTGAATCCTCTTACTCCCCACACCTCTGGCCTGTACCCCAGTTCTTGTATGCATAAGTAAATAAATCTTGCCAAAAAAAGAGTAATCACTCTGTCTTTTGGTTAGCATTTATATTTAACTATATGATGTTTTGTCTCCTCATTAAACTCATGAATTCTATATTAAATGAATGTGTGAATGAATAATAGAATTCTATATTAAATGAATGTGTGAATGAATAATAGAATGAAAGGAATTTTAAATCCACAGTCTTTATAAACATTGTTTTTTGGGGTGTTATTAAATTGATCATGATCAACCATCAAGATTTACATTGATAATGTACATAATTTAATTTTCATATTACATAAATGACCATTAAATCACATGTAGATATACATTTATTTATTTTTTCCTTCACTCCCCCCCCTACTTGTGTCTACAGACGAAATCTCACAAAACTGTCCCTTATCTTCAGTCACATGCTGGCAGAAATCAAAGCAATCTTTCCAAACGGTCAGTTCCAGGGAGATAACTTTCGAATCACAAAAGCAGATGCTGCTGAATTCTGGAGAAAGTTTTTTGGCGACAAGTAAGTAAAAATCATTTTATAGTTTGGATCCATCTTTGAATGACCTAGACCTGTTTGTAATTTTAGATGGTATGGATTTTACTTATGGTGTAGTGTTTTAAGAATGCACTTGAGTGTTTTGATTTTCTTTTGTTTAATCACCAAATGTATACCTCAATAACTAGTTTTATGTTACTACAAAATAAAATCGGTTACCTGACATTTCTTAAATTAGTAGTCAATTGAGTTAAATACTTTGCTCTAAGAAGCAGAGGTGTATAAGAACAACACATCTCTATACATGAAATTTCATAACTTTTGATAACTAAGTATACCCGCAAGACACAGACAAAAGACAAAAAAGAGATAGATACTTTATAAATGGTATAAACTGCTTCCTAGAGGTGTTATATAAGCTTTATTAAGATCTGAAATTGAGATGAAAGAAGACCTTAACACCCTAGTTCCGGCTTTCTTTGTTTTATGCACAGACAGTATACATGTGTACACAAGATATAGAAATGAAGGGTGATGTGATCACAAAGTTGCATTATATCACAAAGTAGCTAAATAAAGATATATCCTGTAGGTGCTTTACTACTCAGACACAAACTCAGGCAATCCTGGCAAGTAATAGGAACTGAATGTCTGAAGTCAGCATGACTTAAAGCTTGCAAAACTTTGTTGGGAATCTTTCAGTAAGATGATCGAGAACTAAGCATCAGGAAGCAAAGGGTCCTCATTGATGAGAGAGCACCCTCAAAATTTCCTTGGATCCAGGCAGAAATATGGCTGGGTATTAAGGAAGAATAGTGATTGCCTACACATTATTATTTTCATTATGTACTTCAAAGTCTGTATTTATACATTAACTGATGAAATGAGACATACACAGTGTTTTTATACACTTTTAATGGTCTTGTCCTCAGATGCTGATGAATTACATGTAACATTGGGCTTCCCCCTTTGATTCCTTTACCAAGTGTGCTGTGTTTATAGCTAGCACCATGATTAGAATTTATACACAAAGCAATGCACCTTTAATTAGATACATAATTTTTTTGCTTTCAGAATATTGAGGCCTTTTCTCCACTTCTCAAATAAAATGCATTTTGAATTATTTTTAGACATTTAAGGAGGAAATACCAAGCTTCCATTAGCACCAGCTTTCTTGTAGGAGTAATATAATGCTCATGTATCTATTTACAAATGAGGAGCTAAAAAAAAAAGATCCATACGCATTTGAATTAGAAACAGCCAAGACTATACAAATTAAATATTTGTGAATGGTAGAAAACAGAAAAGGATTGCCAGCTACTGGAAGTAAGAACTGAGAGGATTTCTTGAAGTTACAGTTCATATATTAACACTAATGCAGGCAGCTCATAACCTTCAAAATAAACTATCTTAAAATTTTAAAAAAAAATCTGTATAACGAATTGTGGTATTTCTTTGAAAAACTGAAAATTCTGGTGAGTTATAAATTAGTTGTCTGTCAGAAGGTCAGTAAAAAATGGAAAGATTGATCATACTTTTTTTTTTTTTTTAAGAGAAGAGCTTGTTTTTCTGGCACCTTAAGCCATAGAAAGTTATGCATTTGAAACATTTTTATTTCCCTTTATTTATAACCATAGATAACAAAGGCTGAAATTTCTCTTCAACTGCTACATGAGTGAAATTATTACTAAATCAAATGGGGTATTCTTGAAATTTTATTTTTTTTTTTTTTTTAGAATTTTATTTATTTTTATTTATTTTTTTTAAATTTTTTTAATAATAAATTTTATTTTTATATTCCCCATACAATTGCAACCCCCCCCATTCTGACCCCAATCCCTCCCCTCCCGCCCCTCACCCCTCAAAAAGTGTCTCTGGTTCATAGTTTTTTGTTGATTTTGATTTTCGCTTTCTTATAGTTATTCATTTTTCTGGTCCCTTATTTAAGTTTTCTAGATTCCTGCTATGAGTGAGACCATCCGGTATTTTTCTTTTTCTTTTTGGCTTATTTCGCTGAGCATGATCCCTTCCAGTGCCATCCATGTTGCTGCAAATTGCATGTGTTTATCTTTTTTGAATGCTGAGTAATATTCCATGGTATATATGTACCACATCTTCTTGATCCAGTCATCTATTTTTGGGCATTTGGGTTGTTTCCAAAGCTTAGCTATTGTAAACAGTGCTGCTATAAACATAGGAGTGCAGGTGCTCTTTGGAATTGATGTTTCTGTGTCCTTTGGGTAAATACCTAGGAGTGGAATTGCTGGATCATATGGAAGCTCTATGTTTAGTAGGTCCAGAAATCTCCACACAGCTCTCCATAGTGGTTGGACCAGTTTGCACTCCCACCAACAGTGCACAAGAGTTCCTTTTTCTCCACATCCTCGCCAACATTTGTTGTTGCTAGTTTTTTTAATATGTGCCATTCTCACTGGTGTGAGATGGTATCTCATGGTAGTTTTGATTTGCATTTCCCTGATTACAAGTGATGTTGAACATTTTTTCATATGTCTGTTGGCCATTTGCATTTCCTCTTCAGAGAAGTTTCTTTTTAGCTCTTCTGCCCATTTTTTGACTGGATTATTTTCTTTGTTGTTGTTGAGTCTCATCAGCTCTTTGCAGATTTTTGTGATCAGTCCTTTATCATTAGTGTTGGGTGCAAAAATGTTCTCCCAGTTGGTGGGTTTCTCTTTGTTTTTGTTATTGTCTCTTTTGCTGTGCAGAAGCTCTTTAATTTGATGTAGTCCCAGCTGTTTATCTTTCTCTTCACTATCACTGCTTTGGGTGATGTGTCTGTAAAGATGTCTTTGATGTGCAAATCCCGTAGTGTTTCGCCTATATTTCCTTCTATGTATTTTATGGTTTCAGGTCTTATGTCTAGTTCTTTAATCCATTTGAGTTGATTTTTGTGTATGGTGTGAGGTAGTGGTCAAGCTTCATTCTTTTGCATGTAGCGACCCAGTTTTCCCAGCACCATTTATTGAACAAACTTTCTTTGCTCCAATGCATAGTCTTTGCTCCTTTGTCAAAGATTAGTTGACCATAAATCTGTGGGTTTATTTCTGGATTTTCTATTCGATTCCATTGGTCTGTATGTCTGTTCTTGTTCCAATACCATGCAGTTTTGATGATTATGGCTTTGTAGTAGAGTTTGAAGTCTGGGAGTGTGATGCCTCCATTTCCTTCTTTTTTTTTTCAGGAGAGCTTTGGCTATTCGGGGTTTTTGGTGATTCCATATGAATTTCATCAATAATTTTTCTATTTCTTTGAAGAATGCCATTGAGATTTTGATTGGAATAGCATTGAATCTGTATATTGCTTTTGGTAGGATGGCCATTTTAATAATGTTTATTCTTCCAATCCATGAGCAGGGGATGTCTTTCCATTTCTTTGTGTCTTCTATTTCTTTTAACAGTGTTTTATAGTTTTCTTTGTATAGGTCCTTTACCTCTTTTGTTAGATTTATTCCCAAATATTTGATTTTTTTTGTTTCGATAATAAAAGGGGTGGTTTTTTTGATTTCTTCTTCTTCAGATTTATTGTTTGTGTATAGGAAGGCCACTGACTTTTGCGTGTTGATTTTGTATCCTGCCACTTTACTGAATTGATTGATGAGTTGAATTAGTTTTTCTGTGGAGATTTTGGGGTTCTCTATGTATATTATCATATCATCTGCAAATAGTGATAGTTTGACTTCTTCTTTTCCTATTTGGATTCCTTGGATTTCTTTCTCTTGTCTTATTGCTCTGGCTAGGACTTCCAGTATTATATTGAAAAGCAGTGGTGAGAGTGGACATCCTTGTCTTGTTCCAGATCTTAATGGAATTGCTTTCAGCTTTTCACCATTGAGAATGATACTGGCTGTTGGCTTGTCATAGATGGCCTTTATGATGTTGAGGTATGTTCCTTGTATCCCAAGAATTTCAAGGGCTTTTATCATGAATGGGTGTTGCACTTTGTCGAAAGCTTTCTCAGCATCTATTGATATTATCATATGGTTTTTATATTTCTTTTTGTTGATGTGTTGGATAACGTTGATTGATTTTCGGATGTTAAACCATCCTTGTGCCCCTGGAATGAATTCAACTTGGTCGTGGTGAATTATCTTATGGATACATTGTTGGATTCTGATAGCTAAAATTTTATTGAGGATTTTTGCATCAGTGTTCATTAGGGAGATTGGCCTATAGTTTTCCTTTTTTGTGTTGTCCTTATTCGGTTTTGGTATTAGTGTAATATTGGCTTCATAGAACGTGTTTGGTATTGTCCCTTCCTTCTCAATTTTTTGGAAGAGTTTGTGAAGGATAGGCACTAATTCGTCTCTGAATGTTTGGTAGAATTCATTTGTAAATCCATCAGGTCCTGGGCTTTTGTTTTTGGGGAGGTTTTTAATTACCATTTCAATTTCGCTGCTTGTAATTGGTCTGTTTAGGTGCTCTATTTCTTCTTTATCTAGCTTTGGGTGATTGTAGAGTTGTAGGAATTTGTCCTCTTGAAATTTTAATTAAATGCTCTATTTCCCAAACTCTTGTATCTTTGTCTCCTATCTTCACTTATTTGGGAAAGCTGATTAATTTGTCTTTAACATTTTAAAGGTTGAATACTTTTATTTTCCTTGAGCTTTTAATACTAGGTTTTATTTTCATAACTTGTTTATCACATGGAAGCACTGCTGTCACTTATTTTGCTGTATATTAGGCCCATGTGAGAATGCTTTCATTTGACCTAACCAGTGCCTTTAAACTTGAAAATGGTATTGTTTTCAAAAATAAAACTATTGAGGTTAGTTCTAAAAACAGATTATGGTTTTCATAAAGATGCTTTTAGTGTAAAAAGTATTATTGTTTGTTTATTCCAAAAAGTATCATTTTGTTTATTCCAAAAAGTATCATAAAAAGAACAAAATATTATTTGAGTTAAAACTCCTGGAGAAAGCTATTGTTCACTGGACTTCATAAGGCTTCTAAAGGCAATTTTAGGATTCAGGCATCATAAAAACAGGCAGCAGACAAAAGTATTTAGTT